CAAAAAAAAAAAAAAAAAAAAGAATGATAACTTTTAGAAAATAACTACTCTACTCCTGCCAAACACCCCAGAAAAAACTGTGGCCCTGTTTTCACCTATGCCAGAAAAGGCAGAGCAGATGTTTAAATGCTAAAGGAACAAATGGCAGATGAGGATCCATGGGAAAGCCAAGCTATTGAGTTAGCAGATAAGAGGAATAAATAAATTAGCGACACAATGGTATATCTATAACTTAAAGAAAAATATTGTAATGACAACCAAGTGAAACAGGTGACTACAGGGAGGGGGTATATCAAATTGACAGTGTCTCCGTCTCTCAATTCTGATCATAGCAATAAATACCCAGAAATACTTCCAGTCTTGTTTGGCCTCTCTTTCATTCTCCAATATTCACAACAGTAATACAGACGGGTGGTCTGTCAGGCATGGTGGCTCACTGTACTCCAGCCTGGGCGAGAGTGAGACCCCGACTCACAGAACAAAACAAAACAAAACAAAACAAAACCAAAAAAGGTTAAGTATAGGAAAGAGAAATGTTGAAAGCTTGAAAAAACAAGTTGGAAATATATTTGCAGGTTCATGGACTTTATAATTGCATTTATAGAATATTAATATGTTTCATTATTTTATCTCTAAATCTTTCCTATATATTAGTAAAAGAGAATATATCAAAAGTATAAATGGCAAATCTGACTTCACAAGATTTTTACGTAACAAAAAAAAGCAGATTTTAAAATATTCTACTAGTTATAAAAAAATCTAGAAATACAAAAAGGATACAGCATCCATTGCTATGAGATGAAACCTTCTATTTCTTGCTTCTTCCCTGTTGAAACAAATCGCATTTTTAAGTAAATTCAAAATATTTATATTCTAATTGATAGAATCAAATCCTCTAGTTCCTAAGTGTATAAAACATATTAAACCAAAGAATGTAATTCACATCAAAATACCATACCTATCCAGCAATTCTGCTGCAACTTGCTTATGGGCCACCTTTCCATGTTTTTCTTTCTGAAATGGTTTTTGGAGCAGTAAGTCATCCTCAACTGTCCTGGTGTATTAAGAAAAAAAATAAGGATTAATTTTTCTCAAAGGTTGTTTTCTAATCTTTATATTTTCATAATTGGAACATGTTTTAAAGAATACAAGTCTTAATATAAAAAAGACTCACTGGTCTTTAATGAGACATTTTACATTTCCTTAAATAGCCTAATTAACAACTTAATTTAATACCTACAACACAGAGAAGATGGCACTAACAAAAGCATGAATTCTAATGGCAAACCTCCTAGGTTGCCAGTTCAAATCTTGATTCTGCCATTTCCTACCTTTATCTTAATGAGATTAGGTTACTTTACCTCTTTGTTTCTTAGTTTCTCTGCTTGTGACACAGGGATAAGAAAGTTTTTGGTAATTACGGATATGGAAAAAGTAAGGCTGATTACAGAGACTATGGACCACAGATGATCAGCCTAGTCATGTAGAGAAGTATAACCCTGGAGCAGAGTACCCAGGTAGATTTTAGTCTTACAAAGTAATATTTTCGAATGAAAAACCTAGAAAATGTGAAGTATCATAAAATATAATTTACTATTATTAGTACTATTTTGATTATCCATGAGGACTGAGTAGCCTATAAAAATGTTTAGACACAGTTAGTATGCCTAATGTACTGCTTTCAGTATGAAATAATTAACTCATTTCTATATGCTTGGTTAGTATAAATCAGTCAACATCTTGGTGTATAAGTATGGTTAATACAAATCAGCCTCTCCTGAGTTAATGTATAAAATCTGTAAGCTGTCGGGCATAGTGGCTCTCACCTGTAATCGCAGCACTTTGGGAACCAGAGGTGAGAGGACTGCCTGAGTTCAGGGGTTCAAGACCGGCCTGGGCTACTTGGTGAGACTCATCTCTAAAATAAATTTTAAAAAATGAGCTGGGTGTGGTGGTGTGTGCCTGTAGTTCCAGCTACTTGGAAGGTTGAGCCCAGCAGGTCAAGGCTAGAGTGGCCGTAGCATGCCACTGCACTCCAGCCTGTGAAAGTGAGACTTGGACTCAAAAACAAAAAACAAACAAAAAAAACCGGAAAGCTGAGAACAATAGTCCTAAGCACAGCAACTCCACCAAGATTAGTCTTATAACGCCCAGGCTTTATGTGTGAAGAGTTCCTGTCCCTTACAATTTAATGAGAGCTTCCATGAGTTTCTTCCCCTGATAGTCTCATTCACGTACCTGTAAGAACTGTGCTGCACTATACTTGCACCCTCCACATCACCACACTTTGATTGATGGTCAATCAAAGCCCTTTTGAGTTATGACATTTTCAAGGACACAGTTCTGGATAGCTGAATTAAAAATACTGGCAACAGAGAAATTGGATATTTTTATTTTCTTTCCTTTTCCTATAACCCCCTTCACAGCATAAACAGTATCTTCTTATTTTTCCCACAACTGTTCTCCAATTTTGAAGCAAGTTACAACATTTCAACGAACACAAATTCATTCACTAGGGCAGTTATCTTCACATGCAAACACAACCCAAACACTTCTGTTATTACTCCTTTGTGCCTTGTAAACCTAGAAAGGATGTGCAACATGGATCAGTAAGAAATGACTAGCCGGGTGTGGTAGCACGCACCTGTAGTTCCAGCTACTTGGAAGGCTGAGGTGGAAGGATCGCCAGAGCCCAGCAGGTCGGGGCTGTGATGACTGGGAGCAGCCACTGCCCTCCAGTCTGGGCGACAGAGTGAGACCCCCCCAACTCAAAAAAGAAAAAAAGAAAAAAAAAGAAATGACTTACCTCTTTTTCCTCTTGCTAGAACCCCCACAGTGTTCATCATCACTAAAATCAGAGTCATAGCCCCCGTGACCATGCATCTGTAAAGGAGTAGAAAGCCGGATATTTAGAACCTAAGTTGCCAATCATTCAGGAAACAGAATAGTTCTAAAATAAGTTATCTTCCACAGGCACAATAGTTTTAAAGAACCATGGTGGACAGATCCCTGCTCATGGGCTATCCAGCAATCTAAAACTTACGTTCACTCTGAAATAAGAGGCTTATCCTCGAGAAAACGCATCAATGTATTTCACCCTTAATTACCATGAGGTGAACAAAGGAGGCTATGTTTTGATATTTTCACTGAAAATTAGGTCTAGAAGCTGCAAAGTGACTACTTACAAGCATCAGCAATGTTCCACTCTTATTTGATTCAGAGTAGTAACAGTTACTGTGTATTTACCACCAATTTTGTTCCAGACATCTTACTAAGTACTGTACAACCAATGCCTCTAGTTCTGCAGAAAGTCATCTCCATTTTAGGAATGAAGAAATAAAGGACAAATCAAATTAAGTAAACCAATTTTACAAAGCAAATAAGTGGCTAAGCTGATCTATTTGATTTCTTAAGCCCACAATTTCAGCTTCTCCAAATTGCCTCTCTGGAAAATGGTTTGCTGTAGACCATGGGAACTACAGTATTTGTGAAAGCATATCGTCAAATGATGAAAATTTTCCTGCAATCATTTTCAACATATGTAGAGATTTCCATTTCCTTTTAAGTTTCTTCAGGGTAAACTTCCTTATCCTTTGGCTTAGCACCTTTCTCTTGCTTCAATTCATTTTGAACCGAAATTCTCAGAAATGCTGAAAGACCTGTTGTCACTCAATTATGTGGAAAGCCGCTCCTGGTTCCATTGTGACACTGAATTTAGGACACAGGAATGGGGGAATGGATAATTTTATGTCATAAGCAACCCATTTATATTCAGGCTGGATGCCAGATTTTTTAAACTTTAATATTCACTAGATCAAGTACAGCAGAAGAGGAAAGAACTCCCCAAACGTCACTGCATTGGACCTAGGATAGAAAACATGTTTCTAGGCCGGGCTCAGTGGCTCTTGTAATCCCAGCAATTTGAGAGGCCTAGGCGAGTGGATAGCCTGAGCTTGCGGGTTTGAGACCAGCCCGGGCAAATTGGCGAGACCTTGTCTCTACAATAAATGAAAAAAACTAGCCGGTGGCACGTGTCTGTAATTCCAGCTACTTGGAAGGCTGAGGTGGAAGGATTGCCAGAGCCCAGCAGGTTGACGTTGGGGTGGCTGTGAGTGTGCCACTGCACTCCAGCCGGAGCGACGGAGTGAGATGCCAACTCAAAAAAAAAAAAAAAGAAAACAAGTTTTTAGTTCTGGCTACCTTTAATAGGTCATTTCCCCTCCCTGGACTTCATCTGTTAAATAAGGTGACTACATCAAATAACCTTTAAAGCCTGTGATCTGTCTCTAATCCCATTTTCAAATTTAGCAGTGGGTATACACCTCTCTTCCCTGTCCCACGGAATGCCATAGAGAGAAAGACCCCGCTGGAGATGGTTAGGAGGCTGGCATCTGTTAACCTGGACTTCACACCCCTTTACCAGGTCAACACCAGTTGCCTTATCACATCTCTTCAAGCCAGACAGACTTTGTTCTAGACCCACACTTTCTTCCCATTTTGCAGGGGGACAACCACAGTGTGGAGTTGAGAGTTACATTCTGGACCAGGCTACCTGACAAAATGTACGGCGCCTGGCTCTGCACCTCTACTTATCTTATTTGTTCGTTTGAGTCAGGGGTCTCACTCTGTGGCCCAGGCTGGAGTGCACCGGTACACTCCGGCTCCCCGCAGCCTCCACCTCCTGGGCTTAGGCGATCCTTCTGCCTCAGCCTCAGTCTAGAGTAACTGGGACTACAGGAGCGAGCCACCACGCCCCGCTCTCCTGGGCTCAAGCGATCCTCCCTCCTCGGCCTCCCACAGTGCTGGGATGACAGGTGTGAGCCACGGCGCCCGGCCACCACGTGTCACTCTTTGGGCCTGCTGCTTAACCCCGCTCCCCCGAGCCTCAGTTTCCCCGTCTACGAAACGAGGCTCTCGAGAGGACCGCGCTCCTAGGAACGGAGCGTAAACGCGTGACCGTATCTCTCGGTTCTCACGACGATGCGGGGGACAGCGAAACCCCACAGGCGTGGACGGCCATCCTCCTCTCGTTCCCGCCCGCCACCACCTCCCGCCCTCGCCCCACTCGCCCGCTGCTTTTCTCCTCTCTCAGCTCCGTGTCTGGACTCAAGAGCTCTCACTCACTTCGGACTGTGAATCAACGGGCACGAGCCGAGAGGAACTGGAGAGCGGAGACACCGGGCGTCCCCAGAAACTGTCCTCCCAAACGGCCAAAAGGATGACCAGCGAGGAGCGGACGGGGAGCGGGTCCGGGCTCCTCCCCGCGACGCCAAAGGGACCCACGGCCCTCCTCACACACCCTCCGCCCGGCTGTGCCAACTTCGACCCAGACTGGTCCCTTCCTCCTTTTCCGACAGCTGCAGCGACGACCCACGGCCTGAGCGAGCCGCTGCAGGGCCGCCCCGTCCGCCTGAGCCGCGCAGCCTCGGCGCGGCCTCCGCCGCGACCGCCGCCCGCTCCACGCCTCTCCCTACGGGTCCCGACTGGGCGCCACTTCCGGTCCGAAGCGGCCGTGTGCCACACTTAAATGGCGCCGTCCCCGGAAGCACCGATCTTGTGCTACCGCCCGAACAGCTCCCGGAAACACGGGCGGCGGGAGAAAAGGGCCGGAAGGGGAAGCGGCGGCTTCCTGCTTTCGCCCTGTCGCGGCCCCCAGTTTCCCCCCCGCCCCGGGCTCCTTCTTTCCTCTCTAGAGAATCCAGCATCCGCGTGGCACTGCCCGCTGCTCAGCCCACGCCCCTCATTTGAAAATATATTTTGTTATCCCCCTGCCTGTCGCCGGTCGTCCTCTCTAGTAACCTTAGTAACGCCTCGGCGCATCCTCGCCGAGCATCGCATCAGCGCCTCCCATTACCCCCCCCCCCCCCCCCCCGTTCTCATAATTAGAACAAAAATATCTTTTCATCGCTTCACCACCCACACAATAGATACCATTCCAAAAGCAGGGCTGGTGGCAGAAGAGCTCATCGAATGTGTGAGCAAAGAAAGAATAGGGAGGACAGATTTCTCAGGGTCGCGGATTCTCTGCAGACAGGCGACCTGGCACGTGCGGAAAGGGATCCGAAATAGAATCTTTAAAAAAAAAAAATTTAAAAAAAGGAAAGTCGAATTATTTTAAGCGCTACCAGGTTCTTCCTGTGCTTTGCCTTTTCTCCACCATGACGCCCCACTCTGCCTCCCGGTTACTGGGTTCGTGTCTCGTTTCTCTGTGGCATCAGCAGGGATTCGTCGTGGCTTCCTCCTCGACACCCAACACGGTGCCTTGGAAATCGCAGGCGCTAATTAAATATTTGTCGAATTGACCGGGCACGATTCTGGCTGGGGCAGCGGGCTCTTTTAGGGGAAAACCTCGGCACCAAATGCACACTCATTTTACATCGTTTGCCCTAAACCGTAGATGATAATATCCTTATCAGTTCAAGGCCCCTTCTGTCCCTGACAATTAATCACAGATAGACGTTGCTTTACCCAACGCAGTGATTGTGATCATGAAGAGCTATAAGGCAAGTTAAATGATTGTAAATTAAGTTATGCCAAAATACAAAACAGGCATCAATAAAAAAAATTTACTCAAAAATGCTTAAGCATTAGGAAGCCTTTGCAGCAGTTTAACATTATACTATTTTGAATTCTTTTGTCAAGCAGTTTCTTTTTTGGTAAATATAGAAAATATGTATCTTGTTCTTTTACTTATTAACAAACTCAAACACACCTGTACCTTGTATCCAATTTTCTTTCTACCCATATTTTATATTTGTTTGTGTTCTTCCAACAACACTTTGCTGCTGTGTTATTAGTCCAATTTTGCACACGAGGAAGGGAGTCACAGAACTTAAAGCCACAAACCGGGAGAGGGTCCAGAACTGGGTGGTACTTGTCTCTCTGTAAGACCCAGTTCTTTCTTTCTCTCTCTCTCCTCTCTCTCCCCTCTCTCCCTCTCCCTCTCTTCTGCCTCCCTCTCCACCCCACTCCCCACCCCTTCATGGATTGTGTGGGAAGTAGCTTCTGGTTCCAACATTTCTAAGAATTTCAGATCTGCTGCTAACAGTCCATTCAGGCAAACATTTCCATTTTTTACTTTGAGACAGCAGGCTTTAAGACAGCAGTATTGAAAAGGAGTAAATATAAAATATATGTTAAGAACAGATCATATGAGCGGAATGTGAAAACATTTAATACAGAATAGAAAACCTACCTGATCAGGAAATCTAAAGTTAGCAATTACAGCTCAACAATAATTTTGTTTTTTTTTGAGTTGGAGTCTCACTCTCGCCCAGACTGGAGGGCAGTGGCACACTCCCGGCCACCGCAGTCTCCACCCGCTGGGTTCTGACCATCCTTCGGCCTCAGCCTTCCAAGTAGCTGGAACTACAGGTGTGCGCTACCACATCTGGCTAATTTTTGATTTATTGTAGAGACGAGGTCTCGCCAAGTTGCCTGGGCTGGTCTCAAACTCACGGGCTCAGGCAATCCACTCGCCTCGGCCTCCCAAAGTGCTGGGATTACAGGCTGAGCCACTGCGCCCAGCCAACAATAATTTTTTAAAAAACATTTATTAAGTGCCTGCTCTGAGCAGGGCACTGTGTAGTCATCAAGGTTACAAATATGTAAAAGCCACTTCTTATTCATGGAGGTTGACTAGTGTGGTAGGCAGAACATGTGAAATAATAACAACAATATATTCTGTCATATCCTATGTGTCTAGTAAATGGCATGAGCCTGTGATTTCCAATTTGTAAAATGTGTTCTTTCAATGGATATGAAAATTTAAATGTGTACCAGGCCTCTGTATCTCAAATAAAGCAACAAAATACTATACATTAGGTACATTGAGGGGGGTTGGTGGTGAGGGAAGTTGAGTGATGGTGGTGGTGATAATACCCAGAAATATTTGTAATACAAACTATGAATGTGTATTTTGCTAACACTTTCTATATCTGGGCAGATTTCATTTTCCAAAACTGTACCAATATATACGAATATATACCATTATATACCAAATGATATATATACCATTATATACCAAGTATCCCAATATATCCAATTACACATACTCTTCTTAGGATATGATGCTGATACTTACTTACGGTCCCAGGCTTGAATCTGGGCATGTCAGCGACTATAGTCAAAGTTATGCTAAGAGACCTCGGAGGCTAAGTTGCAAGAAGTGAGAGGGCTTCTGCCTGGGTCTTTGGTCTCTCTCCTTCCACAGCTGACAAGGAGTGGAGTAGAGACGAGCTGTCTTCACTGAGCCTCTCCCAGATTGCAGATTCATAAGCAAAATAGGTATTGTTGCTTCAAGCCAGTATGTTCTGGGGTGGTTTGTTATACATATGCAAATAAATAACCAGAACCATGTGCTATCTCACTTAACTCTGACAACATTCGATGAGTCCTCAGCCATGAGGGTTTTCTTTGTTTCCTCGGTGTACATGTCTTCCCTCTATCTGGAGTGGTCGTCCTCTTCCTGTTTGTCTCCCTAACCCCTCCTTGCTCTTCAAACCTCATCTTGGGCGAAGGAAACGCCTTTTACGAGCTTCCCTCCCATGGACTAGGTAGGAGTACTAATAACATGCACGTGCTACTTTCTGTAGCACTCAGCGACTTACACACATAATCATAATTTAGTCCTGTCTCCCTCCCTGAGATGTAAGCCCCACAAGGGCAGGAACCACGCCTCTCTTTTTCCATGTGGAAACACAGCGAAACCAGCCTGGGCAACATTGCAAGACCCTGTGCTCAGCACAGTGCCAGGTACACAAGAGTTGCTCAAAGTATTTATTGAACAAATGAAGTAGGTGCTATCATTGTCCCCATTTTACAGATAAGGGAATGGATTTAAAGAAATTAAACAATTTTCCTAAAGTCATAAGCAAGCAAAGGGAGAAACATATATGACTGACTCCAAAGCTCACGCCATTGATCAGACACATATTGCCTTTCATTAAGGCCATGGCTGTTTTTGATACTTAGATTAGGAACTATTTTTATGGAAAAAAGATACCAGGTAAATTGAGACAAAGGTTGGCTGGGCACCGTCACTCATGCCTGTAATCCTAGCACTTTGGGAAGCCGAGGCAAAAGAATCTTTTGAGGCCAGGAGTTTGAGACCAAGCTGGGCAACATAGTCAGACTCTGTCTCTACCGAAAAAGAAAGGGGAGAGGGGAGTAAGGGAGGGAGAGAAGGAGAAGTGGGGGAGGGATTAGTAAGAGGTGGGCAAAGCTTTGCAGAGAAAGTAGAACTCAAATTGTGGTTTAAATGCAGATCTTTAAGAGGAGGGGAGATGGGCGCAGGAGCAATGAAGTCAAGGCAAAGGAGTCTCAGTAAAAGATTAGAGGTGGAAATATTCATGGGTTATTTGGGGAATTTGAGTGGACCACTTTAGCTGGAGCAGAATTTTTGAAAAAAAAAAAAAAAAAAGAGTGAAAGGATCAGAAAGGGAAGTAGAACCAGATTCGAGACATTCTTGTACGCTAGGCTACAGAGTTTGGTCTACACTAGGAAAGTGTTATAAAGAATAGAGGTTTGGATGGATGGAAATCTGAAATCAAATAACTCTATATTTAAACCCTACTTCTGCCATTGACTAGCTATGTGATCTTGGACATCACTTCATTTTCCTCAAGTTTTAGCCTTCTTCTCTATATTGGGAATAATAACAGCAACTACTTCATAGTATTATGGCAAGCATCAATTGCATGTTGCATTTATTTATTTATTTGAGTTAGAGTCTTACTCTATTACCCAGACTGGAGTGCAGTGGCATGCTCCTGGCCACCGCAGCTTAGATCTGCTGGGCTCTGGCAATCCTTCTATCTCAGCCTCCCAAGTTGCTGGAACTACAGGCTTGCACTACCACTTCCGGCTAGTTTTTTATTTACTGTAGAGATGAGATCTCACCAAGTTGTCTGAGCTGGTCTCGAAGTCACAGCCTTAGGCAATCCACTTGCCTCGGCCTCCCAAAGTGTTGGGATTACAGGCTGAGCCACCGAGCCCGGCCGCATGTTGCATTTAAAGTGTCTACGCGAGTACCTGGCACACAGTAAGGCTTAATATATGTTCACTATTATCATTTTTTCTTTTTTTTTTTTTTGAGTTGGAGTCTCACTCTGTCACCCAGACTGGAGTGCAGTGGCCACTCCCAGCCACCGCAGCCTCGACCTGGTGAGCTCCGGCGATTCTTTCGCCTCAGCCTTCCAAGTAGCCGGAATTACAGGCATGCGCTACCCAGCCCGGCTGATTTTTTGATTTATTGTAGAGATGAGGTCTCGCTGCCCAGGCGGGTCTCGAACCCGCGGGCTCAGGCAATCCACTCACCTCAGCCTCCCAAAGGCGCGGGTATTACAGGCTGAGCCACCGAGCCCGGCTAGTTTTTTTTTTT